GGCCTCCACCTCATCTCATTAATCTTGGCATTCCTCTCCTGAAAGCTTTCCCAGACCCCAGGGTCCGATCTCCAGGCCCAGAGGAAGAGAGCTTCCCAGGGCTCTGGACACCCTTTTAATTAACCCGGACGACCCTCTTCTGACTGGGTCCAGCTGAATCCTTTCACGGTCTCATCATCTCCCGGAGCAGCATCCTGGAACTGTGACTCCCACCCCAGCCCATTCTCTCTCCAGCAAATGTGGTCCCTCTCTTTCCCATATGCTTAACATCTGTTGGCCTTGCTTCCCTGGCGTGGAGACCCTGGGCAAGGGTGTGGCCAGAGGAGGGCCTGCCAGAGAGCCCAGCGGGTGCCCTGCCAATGCCACCTGCCACAGCGGGTATGGAGGATGCCATGCTCTGAGCTGGCAGAGGCCCAGAGCAGGGCAAAACTCTCAGCGATTACCTAGCTGTGTTAATCATCTACCCTAATGCTTCTTTAGGGCTTCCTTCCACACTTCCACACTCTCAAAGGGGTTCTAGTTTCTCGAGGGAACAGTGAAACTTAATCATCTACCATTCTCATAGCTTAACGACAACAGTCAGAAGCTTCCAGAAAATTTTCACCAGCAGTAACTTTTTTTTTTGAGTCAGGGGTCTCACTCTGTACCCTGGCTGGAGTGCAGTGGCACAATCAAGCCTCACCACAGCCTTGACCTCCTGGCCTCAGGCAATCCTTCTGCCTCAGCCTCCCAAGCAGCTGGGGCTATAGGTACACACCACTATGCTTGACTAATTTGTTTCTTTTTTTAAAGATGAGGTCTCATTGTTGGCTAGGCTGGTCTCGAACTCCTGGGCTCAAGCAATCCTCCCTCCTCAGCTTCCCAAAGTGCTGGGATTACAGGTGCAAGTTACTGTACCTGGCCATAGGTTGTAACGTATTAGTGACATTCACTGTGGACAATGCACTTGAACCCAACACCCAACATGGTGCCCAGCACAAAGCCTGTTCTCAAGTACATAGCTGTGACTCAGATGCATAGATAGGACTGGGGAGCAGGCCCTATGATACATAGGAGAGAGCACTGAAGTAGGCAAATCAGGGCTCTGTCCATACAAAAAATTCTGCAAAAGCAGAATTTGAACCCAGATTAGACCAGTTGACTATATTATACCACATCACCTTGCGACATTTAGTATATGTCTTCACCCCTTTCATGTAAGCACATGTGTGTGCATGCATGTAGCCCAGAGGGCATAGAGTGAACATGCATCACCCTAAACTAACTATCTACGGCAAACATGTTCTTACAGTTATGGGTGGGAGTAGGGGGTCTTAGAGTTACGGGGCCATTCATTCATTCATAGAACAAACATTTCTGTATACCCACTGTGTGTCAACAGCAGGAGACACCATAATAAGCATGGCAAGCAAGGCACCTCCCTCGGTCTGGTCTTCCCTTTGACTCTGTGTGGTACTTCATAAATTTCAAAACACAATCATGCCCATGATCTCAGCTGACTTCACCACAACCTGGTTCAAAATGTGTCAAGCCCATAGAAGAGTCTATGAGTTAATGAATGACAAAGAGATGGATGGATGGGTGGATGGATGGATGGAGGATAAGCAGGCCAGTCAAGAGACAGTCATTCCCATCATTCAATCGACAAGTGACATCCTAGGTGGGGTGTGGCTAGAGCATGGCCACTGGGAAGAGCCTTCGGTCTCAGTCCTAGGAATGCCCGGCCTCACCCGTTCATGGAACTCCTTACCTGGTGGGCAGTTACATCCTGGAGATGTCTTTGGGACCTCCCGGCGCCTCCTCCAGTGGAGCTTCCATTTCTGCACAAGGAGAGAGACAAGAGGAGTCACCAGGAGCTCGTAAACACCAAGCCCTGGAAAGTGTCTGTGAACTGGTAGGGAGGGAGGGGTGAGGGGAGGGGGCCACGTGGGGGGCGCTGGCAGGAGGACTGTTCCCGGATCAAAGAAAGGCACTTAATGGCCTTCCACTGGCCACTGGGTGTCTGGGTAATTAGAAACAGAGAAGGCCCATCTTGGTAACCTCAGTGCCTGATGTCTTCAGAGTACTCTTAAAGAATCTGACCCCAACCACAGGGCTCCATAAACCAGTTGTGCCTCCCGCATCCCGCACTCATGCACAGGATGACATGGTTTTCTCAGCTCTCCGCTAATTGTTTCCTGTCTTGGACTGGGCTCCTGATAGGTTCCGGGGCAGGGAGAGTACCTTCTGTTCTTCTGATATCCCTCACAAAGTCAGCACCCACAGGATGGGCAAGGGGGCAGGAGTAGGGGGCTGGCAAGGCTCTCTGCACCCCTTCACCAGACCTCTTCCTCACTTCACCTCAAATCATTGAGCCAATCTGGAAGGACCCAAAGAGGTAGGGGTTCCAGAGAGGTAGGACACCCCCTACCCTCAGAGCTGCCATATTCCTGGCAGCAAATGGACGTGTACATGCAAAATGACCATGCAGGGCAGGAAGCCCATGCATGCCAACATCTGTGTGCTTACTCTGCACAGGATAGCATAAGTGCCTCTTATGAGGACTTCTATCTGATCCTTGCATTGAAGCAGGCCAGGCTAGCACAGAGGTTAACAGGGCTGCCTCAGGAGCCAGGCTGCCTGGTTCACACACAGTTCCCAGGCCCTGGGTTCATAACCATGTGCACCTCATTGGATTTCTGAGACAACTGAAAAGACTGATGCACACAATAATGGTACCTGACACCAGGAGGTTTCTCAATAAATATTAGCTATGACTGCACTCAAGTTACAGGTGAGAAAACTGAAGCAGAGAGGAGACTGCACAGACCAAGGTCACAGGGGAAGAAAAGAAGAGAGCTGGAATTCAAACCCCACTCTCTGGACCTATTGCAGTCATTAGAAGTTGGCAGCACCAAGGCCACATGGGCCCTTCGGTGTATTTTATGTGATTCCTACAGTGATTTATGATGATGATGACGACTGAATTGCTGCCAATATTTTAAAGTGAATGGTTTCACATGCAAATCAGCATTTGTAACTTCTCTTGAAAAACTGGCAGATCTGGCCACCTAGGGCTGTACCCTGGCAGATGACTGACTACACCAAATGTCTCTAGTCTCCATTTGGACAAGGTTGACCAGTTCAATGACCCACCGGCCCCTATAAGCACTTCTCTAGTATTTGCTTCCTCACTTCTGTGTAATCTGGCCACTCAGGATGGGCCACAAGAGAGATAAAAACAGTCATGCAGGAAGTGTCAGGTATCCTAGGAGGTGATGTCTCCTTCTGGTTTGGTGGTAGGGAGGAAGGAAGCTTCGTGAGGATTCAGAGCAACCTACTGTCCTCTGAGCCCATGTACTGGTACTGAGTGGGACTTTTGATATAGACAGGCGTATCTTATAATCATTCATAATCTGACTCTATGGTAGGTAGAAGCTAAGTAGATGTTGTCATCATCTACTTAAAGAAACTGAGGCTCTGAAGGGCTGACTTGCTGATAGTCGCACAGGATATGGTACACACGAGATGTTAACTCAGGCCTTCTATGTAAAGTCCACTTCATGCTGCTAGAGAAGTGTCCCTGGTTAGGGAGCTCAGGGACAGACAGGGATGATGAAGGGCAGGGCTACAGGTAGACACAGAATGACCACTAGGTAAACAAATGACCTTCCAGAACGTCTGGTGAGAGCCCCCTCTAATGCTCTGCTCTGAGCCTGGCTCACCAAGGCCACTTTCCCATAAGGGACCGCACAAACCTATTTCCACATCCCTGCCCATCAATAACCTGTGGGCCTGGCACCCCAGAGGCATGTGATGTGTCTGCTAAATGACAGAGTCAGTCAGTGACTGACAAGCCAAGGCCAGCAGAGCTTGCAGAATTTTGGCTAAAGACTATAACCACTGGGGAGATCAAGCTACCAGCACAGACTTGGAGTCAGCACATGGCACAAGACAGATGGGGCCACATGGCACAAGATGAGTGGGCCCAACCCCATGCCCATAGGACATACACTCGAAGGGGTGTACCTTCTCATGGAAGGGACAATTAATAGAGAAACAAAAAAATATATAATGCAGTCAGCAGTGAGTGCTGGGAGAAAAATAAAGCAGGGAAGAGGACAGAGAGTGGCAAAAAGTGGTATTTTAAACATGGGGGAATGGAAAGGTCTCTCTGTGGAGGGGACATTTGAGCAGAGATCTGGCAGAAGTAAAGAGACGCATCAGCCGGGCGTTGTGGCTCACATGTGTAATGCCAGCACTTTGGGAGGCCAAAGTGGGAGGATCGCTTGAGGCCAGGAGTTCAAGACCAACCTGTCCAACATAGCGAGATCCTGTCTCAACCAAAAAAAAAAAAAAAATTAGCTGGGCATGATGGTGTGTGCCTGGAGAACCAGCTACTTGGGAGGATTTTTTGAGCCCAGGAATTTGAGGCGGCAGTAAGTTATGATTGCACCACTGCACCCTAGCCTTGGTGACAGAGGGAGACCCTGGAAAGAAAGAAAAAGAAAGAAAGAAAGAAATGCATTGTATGGTATCTGGTGGAAGTAAGGAAATGAGTCATGTGGTATCTGGAGGAAGTGTGTTCCAGGCAGAGGGAATAGCAGAAGCGAAGGCTCAGAGACAGGACTGTGCTTGGAGTGTTTGAGGAACAGGAGAGGGGGGCAGTGTGGCTGGAGTGATATGAGAGAGGAAAGGGGTATAGGAATGTGAGGGGATTGGGGGACAGATCACGGAGGCAATGGCAGAGACTGAATTTGTAACACAGACCCCTCACACTTCTGTGGCTTACTGACGGCCATAAAGCTCTAGGTCCTGTGCATGCAGGCAGGCTGTCCAGGTGCCCAGGATCAGGCCACTCGTTCCTTAGCCGCTGGGAGTGTTGGATGCTGACGGCTGAGCCTTCTCTGGGATCTGCTGTCACCTGAAGGAAGCATCTTGACCAGAGTCATGTCCACCCCCAAGAGACAATCCATATTCAATTACTAGCAGGCATGGGGTGCAAAGACCTGGACCTTTGCCTCAGTTTGGACTGATTCTAAAGGTCACCCCGGCTCCAGAGCTCCCAAAGGACCAGCTGAGGCCTCCGTTATGACTGCATTGCAACTCAGACTCTCTGCCCAGCCCTGTTTCCCTCACTTCCTCCTATGTTAACCCCAGTAAGTTATCTGTTCATAATCCTTCACCTCAAATCTTGTTTCTTGGGAACCTGACCCAATATAGACCTGGAAGCAACTTTCACATTTCCTGAGGCTCCTCCAGACCTTCTGAGACTCACAGAGGAAAGGGAATTGGCTTTAATATGTAAGCCCCATAGTGCTTAAATTCTGGGTTCTTCAGCTTCAAGTTTAATACTTTTGTTCAATGGAGTTTATATTATTGGGTTTCTACTAATTGTGAGGCTGTGCAAAATAGCAAACAAGATACAGTCCCCATCAGCAAACAAGTCTGAGCCTAGTGTGGGAGAAGCATGCTCTAAGGCGTCCAGATGACTGCTAACTTTGGATGCCCTGAGTGTTGAGTGAAGTTGAGGCTGTGATGATTACTTTTGGGTGTCAACTTGAACGGGCTAAGGGATGCCCAGATAACGGGTAAAACATCAGTTCTGGATGTGTCTGTGAGGGTGTTTCTAGAAGAGATTAGCATTTGAGTCAATAGACTGAGTAACAAAGATCATTCTACCAATGAGGACAGGTATTATCTAATCTGTTGAAGACCTGAGTAGAACAAAAAAGTAGAGAAAGGGCAAGAGTGCTGTTTCTGTTTGCAATGGGGCCTTCATCTTTTCCACCCTGGAACATCGAGCCCCCTCCCCACCCTTGCACCCACAACTACTTCTTGTCCCTTCAGATTTGGACTGGAACTGACACCATTGACTCTCCTGGTTCTCAGGCCTTCAGGTTTGGACTGGAACTACACGGTCAGCTTTCCTGGTCCTCCATCTTCTAGATGGCGGATTGTGGGCCTTCTGGATCTCCATAATCATGTGAACCAGTCCTTCATAATAAATCCCTTTCTATATCTATAGATAGTCTATCGGTTCTGTTTCTCTGGAGAACCTAACACAGGAGCCTTGGGTATCCACGTGAGGGGTCTAGCATGGAGGAACCATTCAAAGGTTTTCAGCAAGGAGGCATGTAGTTAAATTTGGGTTGTATAAAGGTCACCCCAGCAGCATGTGGAGGATAGACCAAAACAGTGAGAAGGCTGGTACTGAGGTCCTCCCTGGAAGATGTCATGGTCCCTATCCAGTGAAGAAATGCTAGCAGTCAGGACTACGACGTGAGAGTATTGTGGGGAGAAGCAGACAAGAGGAAGAGGTATGTAGAAAGAAAAAGGGACTGGGTACAGGTTGGATTTGTGGTGGGGTGGGAACAAGGCCCTGCCTTGGGCAGTTGATATGCCACAACTGGGACAAAAGCAAGAGCAGGCTGTGGGAAGATGACGAGACTGAGGATCCTGGGACTATCCTCACTGAGGAGCCCAGGCGGCTGGGCACAGAGTCCAGGAGAGAGTCTGGGTGGAAGACACACCAGGAGCCTGGATCAGAAGGAGACATCTGAGTGGGCAAAGCCAGCAGGTCACAGCTAGGAAACTTACCAAGTTCAGGGTGCAAGTGTGCTTTTCTGGCCTCTGCAGAGTTTGTTTTTAGACATCAAATCCCAACATCACCTCAACCCTCCCATAGTCTTAGCTTCCACATCCTACCTACTGATCCCAATCTCCCAAGGACCTGACACCCCAACCCCAGGGACCCTCACAGCCCACAGGACCTTCAGCCCAAGTGTCCTGCATGCTTTTACTGTCCCTCACTGGTCATATTTCACTTTCCTCCAC